TCTCTCTCTCTCTCTCTCTCTCTCTCTCTCTCTCTCTCTCTCTCTCTCTCTCTCTCTCTCTCTGCTCATCTTTCTCTTTTTCTCTCGGCTTGGGATGGAAGCACGAGACCTCGAGAACGAGGGCTCGGTGTCGGATCGATTGTCGGAACACTGCACTTCCCCGCGGGCTATGTGGCGCATTGACTCGTGAATAATCGCGTGTAATTCGGGCTGGATTAGGCTCGTTCCGCGTTTTGCCGGCGTGTACGGTGAAAATTGCGCGGCATGTTTCGCATTGCGAAGGATCGCGCGATTTTAATCGAACCTCTCGCGGCGGCTGTAAATAATTGATATCGTCGCGTGTTCGATATGTGTATGTTATATTCTACGGCGATGTGCGCCATGAGCTCGCGTTATTCGTCGTTAATGTCCCTCGATACTTTATGTCGCCTTTATGTGTATTCGTTCCTCACCTGCCGCCTTGCATCGTATCTTGAAATTGCGCTCTGGTGGACGTAGCGTTTAAGCCTATCTATGCGATATCTTCTGTCGGAGAGATCGCTGGTTTCTTCTTTCACGCTGCAGAGTTTCGACTCCTCGAACGCGTAATGATATCGTGCAGCGTGCGTTACAAGAATGTTCGAATTGCGAGCGGCGCGAGCCGACTGTTTGAGGATCGCAGTATCCGGCTGAAAATTGTTAATGCTTGTTTAACACGCGTTAAAAGGAGAGCCGGCCCGTCCGTTTACGCTCGGCTCGTAATAGCGCCGTCGGTGTTTTAACGGAACGGTAACGCGCGTATTATGAGATCGGCACGGGAGTGCATCTCGCGCATCTGGAAAACTGTGCACTGCGCGTCTAACGGAGACGTCGATCCGTTTTGCAGAGAGAGATGGACAGGGACCATCGTGAACAGCGTGACCACGATAGTATGAACGAGAAGGACACGGATCGCAAAGTCGGAATGGATTTTCGCAGTCTGTCCCACCACCACGATCACGCGGCCGACGTCGATACGGAGGTATGTATCGACAATTTTTCTTCTTCACTGTTAATTATATCTAAGAAGTAATGATAATACCATTGTTGTTCTAAAGAAATTAATATAGATCTAAAGAAGTAATTTGATATTGTTTTGAAAGATATCACAGTTTTCATGGAAACAGTAATTGAAAGTTAGGAGCGTTAACTAAGTTCAGAACGTTAATTAGTTAAAAGTGTTGCATCCATCACGAATAATTTCGAAATTGCGATTTTGTTACAGAGGGACATGGACATCGATCCGGCCGATCGCGTCGAAAACTTGCACGACGAGAAATCCGAGAAACTGGGCAGGAATTTTCATAATATAGGACATCATCCCGCTATGGTAAGTTTGAGAGTTCCGTCGAATTGTGTATCTCACGTCGCTCTGGAATTGATCGATTATTTCTCCCTAATAGGATTTGATGGTTCACGCTCGATTAAGCGCTGGTCGTTTATCTTTGCAGAGAGACCTAGATAGAGATCAAAATAATCATGTCGACAATTTACACGACGACAAGATAGAGCACAAGATAGGAAGAGATTTCCGCAGTTTGAGCCATCATACGGGAATGGTCCATTTACACTCCGGTATGGAGCATTTAAATAGTGTCGACGTCGAAGTAAGTACCCGTTGTCATTACGTCTCGTGGCGATTAATTATCGTTTTTGCACATTCTCGAGTGACATTTCGTGCTTTTTTGTAGGTGAAGCTAGCGAGAGACGTACGCGGCTCGTTAGGATTAGGATTGTCTTTAGAACTATGTGTAGTCTGTGGAGATAGAGCCAGCGGCAGGCACTACGGTGCCATTAGCTGCGAGGGCTGTAAGGGGTTCTTCAAACGCAGTATTCGTAAGCAGCTGGGCTATCAATGCAGAGGCAGCAAAAGTTGTGAAGTTACTAAGCACCATAGAAATCGCTGTCAGTATTGTAGGCTTCAGAAGTGTCTGGCCATGGGCATGAGAAGCGATTGTGAGTTAACACCGGGTCGTTTTTTCCGGACGTAACTCGTGAGATAGGATAATCGCGAGTAACGCGTGTCTCTCGCGGTGTTACAGCTGTCCAACACGAGAGGAAACCCGTATTAGGTGACTCGACTACCACAAAAGTGGGTAATCGTAGCGCCAGGGTGAAGCCAGAACCGCAGCAACCTGTGCCGGAGGCACCTCCGGCTTGGGAGCAACCCGAGAGTCCCAGCATGGAAGACCAAAGTAGTGACAGCGATCTTAGCGACGCCTTGACCTTAGCACGCGAACGCTTGCTCATTTCTCATGCGCTGGATAGCATGGCTAAGCTTATCGGTGACGTAAGTCACGATTATTATCTTACACTTTCGCATTATTCTCGTGCAAGTAAGGTCTTTAATATACCGTGACGTTTGCTTGCAGACTGTGAACGGCTCGAGCGAGCCAGAGGAAGAATGGACCGGCCAATTAATCTCCGAGCGACACACGTTGTTCGAATTGAGGCCGCCTAGTCCGGCACCTGCGTATTTATCTATTCATTACATTTGTGAGAGTGCGGCTAGGTTGTTATTTTTATCTGTGCATTGGGCACGAGGAATCCCGGCGTTTCAAGCCTTGCCGTGAGTATTGTGCATATACTTTCGTCGAAATTTATATAAACGCGTTACTTTTATATTGATGATCAAGCAGTGATATTGTCTCAAAGATATATATATATATATATATATATATATATATATATATATATTTTTTTTTTTTTTTTATACCGTAGATCTGAAATTCAAACAGCTCTAGTGCGAAGTTCCTGGGGACAGTTGTTTACATTGGGTCTCGCGCAGTGTGCGTACACATTGTCTCTTCCTAGTATTTTGACATCGATTATCAATCACTTGCAAGCTAGTATAGCGCAAGAGAAGATCACGGCTAGCAAAGTAAAGTCTCTCACGGAACATATATGCAGGCTGCAGGACTGTGTGAATTCCCTGCACAAGCTGCAAGTCGATTCCGTGGAATATGCATACCTCAAGGCTCTGACACTTTTTAGCCCTGGTATGCAAATGCACAAGACGAAAGAAAGACAATACATATACTGTTGAAATTAAGTAATGCAAATATTCTACCATTCTTCTTTTAGATAATATGCTGGCAGGTGTCTGGCGTAGGAAGGTCGAAGTTCTGCAAGACGCAGCGTGGACAGAATTGCAACAACGTGTGGGCTCCGATAGATTACCTCGCCTTCTCTTGAGGCTAGCGCCTCTTCGCTCGATTAATCCTAGGATCTTGGAAGATCTCTTCTTCGCAGGTCTTATTGGCCGAGTAAGCGTCGCTAGCGTCGTGCCTTATATTCTTACCATGTCGGATTATAAACCCGAACCGGAAAGTCACATGGGGTGACGAATACTGTCAGTGCAATGTAAGTCCTAACATGATATTGCATCGTTGACTACGTGATGTTACATACGTCGTGTGATGTATGAAGTAAGTATTAGATGCCTTGATGGCGTTGGTGAGATTCCGATACCTTTGGCGTTGGAGAGGACGAGATTGTTAAAGATAGGAAACATTTTTAAAGCCATAAGCAAGCGGTTAAAATTGTCAGTTGTAAGTAATGTCTTTACTCACATTGGGATGTAGTTAAAGGCAATCGTTATATTACGGCGACGTCAGAGTGACTGGAATCTCGCCAATGACTTTATACAACGAAAGTGCAAAAGACATGTGAGAGATCAAAATCGACTCCTATGTTTTTTTACGTTCGAGAAGTATTTTTGCATTGAAATTATATCACGATCATGAGAAGTTATCTTGTTGTTCAACTAAAACGCGCGTAAGTTCAGATCGATTGTATATACACATGCTGTTAGGCGTACTCCGATATAGTAAACTCTGATTGTTTATAATAATCATTCGGTATCCAACAATTTCCTTATTTATATAGTAGGTGAATATTATGTAAAGCTTTGATACAGGAATACGATAGCTTGACATACGGACACGTCGTTAAGTTGATCTTAAAAAGAGAAATAACGCATACAATTATAACTTCAACGAGTTAGAGCTTAAATAACATTGTGCTCATCGAAGTGAGCAACCTGTGACGTAATAATCAGGGAGTATTGACATTATAATATTTATACGTATATACGCGGTTATAAGTAAAAATACAACAAATGTTTTCTGTTGCATTTTTAAGTATCTATGTGATGAAATGCAATATCTTCTTTTGAAAATGAGCTTCGTTAACTGATCTCTACGTAGGACTTTTAGTATATTTCGAAAGTGAAAAATATCGTAGTATTTATACTACTCATATAAATGATACAATCCCACAGGAAAATTTCTCCTTTTTATATCGGCGTATTACTTATGGGAAAAATAGAACACATGGAAGGCAGTATATACATATATGTTTATATTCTATTATCTATATTGTTGTTAGCCAAATAGAGCTCTTATCTGAAAGTCGCTAGACTGGTCTAGATTGTCCTTTCTGCGAAAGAGAACATTTTTCTTTTATAGAATAAGAAATAATTAGAGAAGCGTGATACCAATTATATCTAAAAAAAATTCCAGCGTTACATGTTTGCAGGAAACAAATGGATAACGTGCGTGACTCAGATTTCCTATAGTATAAAAAGAAAGAAAAAGTTACGATCGTATTTTTGCTTCTGATATACAAATCAAAGATTTTGTGCATCTACTAGCTGTTACTCTACTGTTCGAAATGGACAATAAAAATTATATTTTTTGTAAGAGATATGCGCGTGTGGATACTTAACATAGTTTAGTAAGCAGATATAACAGTTTGTACATGAGTTACTTAACTGAATGTAAATTTTATATTTTATTGTCCATTGTAATTATATACCTTAATAATTGTAATAATTATAAACATAGTGTACACTCTTGGTACATATTTAATGGTTCTGGAAACGTAAGATAATAATATTTTCTAGTTACATATATCTAATTGATATATTCATTAACAAATCGTGGAAACGTTAGCTGCGTTAAGTTTACGTTGAAAATGTTTCATTAAAACCTCATAAATATAAGTATTAATAATTAGGCAGTAATTATTAATATGACATTGATAGAAAGTAAAGCACTAAAATGCCGAGGCTGCTCAATTTTTATTATTTTGTGAAATTCTTCATATTCTTTTATGTTATTCTTTTACTTTTTTTTATAATAACTTTATAATATGTTATTCTTTTACTTTTCTTTATAATAACAATAATTTTTTCTTGATTTTTGCGGAAGAAATCGTTGAATTACATCAATTGTTCAAATATATAAGTAATATTTCGAGTAAGGATTTTCCACTTTATATGCGGATGGTGCAGTCTAATGTAATAATAAGACAATATTAATTAATGGCATATAATAGTACTATCAGAGATTTAAAATATTTTGAAGGGTACTATTTCACAATATTGATAATGATATATTACTGTTGTGATTATTAAAGTAATAGTTATTAATAGTCGACATATGGTTTGACTTTAGAAGTATTTGTCGCTGAAATGATCAATGGTTTTATTGATAATGCAGCCGGCGCTTCCGGAACTCGATCTTAATTAAAGTTTAATATTAAATATATTTGCACATGTAACTATCTAATCGAATTCTTAGGTCCTTTCCGAGATTTAGGTGCTTTTTGCGTTTTTAACAGCTACGTATCATTGAATGTAAAGAATGGCCGCAATAAAATTTTTTCTTATTTCGGGCTATATTCTCACCGGGACAATATATCATGTTTCGCGGACGTATCACGAAGAAAACTGTGTACATACAATTAAGAACGTGCCTACATAAGAGAAAGATATTTATATGGACGTTAACAGTTTTGTAATTATTGTTATGTAAGTTACGACATATAGATAAAATCGGAGATACCTGAGAAAATTTGTTGGATGCAATTTCGTTAGTCTGAGAATAACATGTATATACGTATGTATACAAAACACATGCATATTTAAATTCGTCGCGGAATAACATATATTTACGATAAAAAATAAATATTATTAGCTCGTAGACACGCTGTTTCTCTTGTCTCTTTCTTCTCTCTCTATCTATCTCTATTTGTCTCTCCCTTCACTATTTCACCAAGTAGCACAAATCTTCGAAGGACGTTGTCTAAAAATGTTCTAAAAACATCCCTACATCCTAAGAACGTTCCAAGATATCTCCTAAAGATCTTGTGCCGCTTGGATAATTATGTGTACAATGTTCTACACTTTACGCCGCAGAAAATAATGTGTTGTCACGACACAAGAAATTAACGAGGGATTCGCATTAATTATCATTATACTCGTACTTTGCTCAATGTCGAGAGAGAAATAAAAATTTTAATCGATTTTCTGTCACGATCTTAAGCATTCCATAGGGTCAATATCCTCACGATAACCGCGGCTTGGCAATTTAACTTTCTAAAGAAAGCGCGCTCAGCGAGTAATATAATTGTGTGTGTATGTGTGTCGACAAGATCAGCCAGTGCCGGATGTGCACTCTTTAATGACCCGAGTTGCAACATGCGCAAAATTTTCCATTCGAGCGAAACTGACATTATATTGAACGAATTTTAATTTCACGCTCGAGTTATCTGACACAATGATGGAATTAAGAAATTACGGGGAGAAAGTAACGTGCGATCAGATCTTGCCGACAAAATATAATGTACAGTCGCTCGAAGAATTTACATAATAGAAAGCAAAAAATCTTAATGTAAAATCAAATCTTACCGATATATCTGAAAACGAGATAAAACTCTATATTGTGCAACATGAACGGGTGAAGCAGGTTACGTGTTTCACGATACACCGTGTTAAGTGCCCCTCACTCCCGGTCCTGCGCAGTGAGTCACGGCTGAGGAGCGCCGTGGTGGGGGGGCGTTCGCGTCGCGTCGCGCCGTGCCGCGCCGCCATAGCCGCGTCAGTAGTCGTCAGGCCTTCTTTCCGCGCGGATTGGTGTGCGTGTCTCGCTCGTCGCGCGCGCGTCCATTGAATCTTCTTCGAGGCACTGTATCGTTCGGCGACGATCGCGGCCCGACTCGCTTCACCCTGGTGACGGAGTGATTGACGAGAGAGAGTCGTGAGACTTTGCCAGTGAAACGTGCGTTGCCCAACGTCGCGTAACTCGAACGCCTCGTTCGCCAAACTTGTACCGGCGACACTCGAGAAGACGCTGCTGCTCGGCTCGCACAGCGCAGCAGGTTCCGGGAAACGCTCCTCCTCGACGTGATCCGCGTTTGGAAAACGTCAGTGAACGCGGAGTGATCGTGGCACGTCCGGGTCATTGCTGATCGATTTCGTTCGTCAGCGTCGTTCGCGAGACGCCGTGTCGCGTGCTGTTGCGCCTGATTTCTTCGTATGATTGCGCGAGCGTGAGATCGACGGGACGCTGCGCGTAAATAATGCCGGCAGGAGCTGCTCGGCTCGCTTGTGACTCCTATGAGTTGTGATCCTGAAGCGGCAGGTGAACAGGCGCAGGCCGCCAGGTATGCGATATCTATTTCGTATCTGAGCTTTTTATGTCGCGTTGACGTTCGATCGATCGCTTTAATGACGCCTTTCGCGAATCTTCCGAGGGGCGAAGGGCAAACGTCTTGCGTTTGAAGTTAGTCTCCGTCTTTGTTAAATTGGCGCGCAATCGTGCATTTGATATATTCACACTTAAGACGATTGTCGTTCTCTTTGCTTCCGTGCTGATTTAATGCATGAGATTTAACTCGTTAGACTTGTTTTTATTCTTTTTAGCTGAAGCTTTTTAGTGTTGAACTTTGTTCTTTTTCCCTTGAATACTATATTATATAAGAGATAAATGTCCTAATGATTAGATCAGTAAGACAGCACGATTAGTTTTATATTTTTATTAATAAATAATTAATAGAATTACTACCAAAACTAACGTTTACATAAATCTCTGATTTATTAACGATCGAAAAGTAATAGGAAATAAAATATTCAATAAATATCAATTTCAATTTTAATAAGATATTAGATAATATTGGCTGTATCAGTAATTGAATTGAAAAATGAATTATGTCCTTATCACGGAATAATACAGACTCGAATGTTGCTCATTGAATATTAGAAATTGGCATAAAAAAATATCTCTTAACTTGCTTTACTCAAAAAAAAAGGGTAAAGGTGCAGCTTATTTTAATTTAAAAAAACAGACTTTGTACGGTACTTTTTTCAGATGTGTTGTTTATATATATATCTCTATACGAGGAGAATGATTTCAAACGTATGAATGAAGAGACTATAACATAACATGAGTCATCTATTCCCTACTATCTCGAAAGAAACGCTTGCTCTTCACTCTCGGAAAATGCGACGAAAATAACAGACAAGTTGTTTCGCGAAAATAATTTATTTCTTTCCTCTACTTCTCACCTTCTCCACGTTTGTTTACTATTCGCACAACTGAATTTTGGCTCTTTCTGAAATTATAAAAAAAAAAACATGTGTCTGTACTTAAGATATAATGACTTTTGAAGATATACACGCGATATCGATCGCACGTCTTCCGCGATGTGTACGTCTGCACTTGTAAAAATAGTTGCCCAAATTTTCCATGGCTTACAACGGCCGGCTCTGTTTGAAAAAAAAACTTCGCAAGACTTGTGTTTGTAAACATGCAGATATCGGAGTAAACGTCAAATTAAAAACTGCCTACTACGCGCGCTTGTGTTTACCTTGAACGACCCATTGTTCGTGACCGAAATCCATTCGTGGGAAAACTCCGGAAAACTTACAAGGGGAACCCGGCAGTCTCTGATCACCGATTTGAATAAAATTTTATGGGTGTGTAGTAAGTACTCATACATTTACTCCTGTAAAGCCGTAGGATCACTATTGAGGCATTCTCGAGAAATATTTTTTTAAATATTTCGAGACAAATTTTTGTCCCTATAGTACCGTTACGGAAAAGCAATTTTCGAACGGTAAGACGTAGACTACTACGCTCGGGGTTGCAGGTTCGATTCCCTGAATGATTTTTTTTTTTTTTATTTAAATCTTATATATTTTTAAATTTGTATATAACACAATTTTAAACCGTTTTTAATTATTTTATATAAAATTTTTTAATAAGTAATTTGTATGTTAAATAAATATTTTTTTAATCAAGGAATTTAAAAATGCTCATTTATTATTAATTAAATTAAAATTTCTCATGCACACAAAAAATATATTTCCAATAAGAATTTACAATTACTGTTTTAAAAACGTCAAAATTAGAGTTTTCATAAATCATTATACCCACGAGTATACCCACCATTATACCAACGATTTTGATCTTTTTTTCGGGACCTTAGCAGGTATACGAAACCGCTCGTCTAGCGAACAAACCGGTAGTAGCAACACAGTCGTTCTTCGAGTTAGACGTGCTTCTTATAGTTTGCAGAAAATATTCGTGCTTTTTTACTTGCAATATGGATATTCCGGGACCGTCAACGAGCGCTAGTGCGAAGGAAGAAGAACAAGAATTTAATAACAAATTGCTCTTAAAAAGTGCTTTAAAAATAAGCGAGAAGTTGCTTGTTGAAAATGAGTATATTCCAGAAAAGTCCGTGAAAGATCTTTCAACGGAAAAGACAACTGTTATAGGCCACGAAATATATAACCGTATCGTCGATATGGTTAATGATATGCATCTCGTTGAGGAGGAAGAATTAGTGTTTTCACATGAAAAAGATATTGATGACAGTTTTATTGATTGTGCATCAATGTATCCATTAGAAGAGTCGTTATCATCGCAGTCATCTCCACTTTCGGAAGAGTGGATCGATTCTCCGGAGAAAAAAAAATTCAAAACAATAGATTTGGATTACAAACGGAAAGTTGTAGCCATAGCAAAAGAACATCCTAATTGGTCGCTACAAACATTACAGAGAGAAGGAGCACATTATTTAAAATGTAAAAGCGATTTAAAACAGTACGTATACGATGCTTTTAACACATTCTATTATATTCTATTGATTAAATAATTATAATGCTTTTCTATTTTTTTTTATTATTAGATGGGAAAAAGATGTATTATCTGGTGGGACGCGATTTGACAAACTGTATGCCATCAATTCTTGGACACTTGATCGATTTACAGAAGCTAGAGAAAAATTCGAACAAGTCACAACAAGAACGTTACAACAATGGGCGATGGCAGCTGCGCAACAATTCCTCTCCAGCACATTTAAATTTTCAGCAGGAAAAACGTGGGCTGATGATTTTAAACGCAGAAATAATATTCGGGAACGACGGATTACCAAATACGTTTCTGAAAAAGAGGCAGCAGGAATGGACGAAATTTTGGCTGTTGCGGATAGATTTAGGAAACAAATCCAACCACTTTTACAAAATTATTCCCCAGATTTAATAATTAATACAGATCAAACTGGTTGCCAATATCAGTCAACAATTAATTGGACATTAGCACAGAAAGATGTTAAATCTGTATTTGTTAAAAAGAAGAGTCTTCATAAAATTTCTCATTCCTATACGGCCCAATATGCATTAACTTGTTCAGGAAAGCTTGTACCAAAAGTGTTTCTCTGTTTACAAGAAACTGGAGACAAATTTGGTCCAATAATACAGAAGCAAGTTGATGCTCTTGTTGTCGAATTTGTCGGTAATGTCATCGTCAAATGTTCAAAGTCAGGAAAGTTAACTACAAATATCTATAAAGACTTCTTAAAAGAAATATTACAGCCATATGTTAAGAATGAAAAGTTTTTATTAATAATAGATTCTTGGGGTGGCCAAACAAATTCACAAATATATGATGATATTTTTGTGGATGACGAGGATATTCCATCTTGTCAAATAAAAATTATTCCGCCAAAGTGTACTCTTTTATGCCAGCCATGCGATGTGTATTTTTTTAGACAAGTTCAAAATTTTATCAAAAAATTACAAAATTGTACATATCTCCTTAAAAGAAATAGAAAAATAGCCAATCGTGAGGATGCTATTAAAATACATTCTTTAGTTCACAATCAGTTAAGCGCACCAATCTTTTGTGATATGTTAAAATATGCATGGTTTGCGTCTCAAATAACAAATGAGAGAACTTTTTTTAAAAACGTTAACGAAGTTTGTTTTCCAGATTCTGTTAATAAAACAAATTGTACAGACTGTGCGCATGAAATGTCTATGATTGTATGTGCATGGTGCAACGAATTATTATGTTTTAAATGTTTTTATGATAAATACCACCCTAAAAGCTGCAAACTTATTGTAAAACAGTAAATTGTACATTTTAACTTATTGTATAACAGTTGTTGTAAATTCTTATTGGAAATATATTTTTTGTGTGCATAAGAAATTTTAATTTAATTAATAATAAATGAGCATTTTTAAATTCCTTGATTAAAAAAATATTTATTTAACATACAAATTATTTATTAAAAAATTTTATATAAAATAATTAAAAACAGTTTAAAATTGTGTTATATACAAATTTAAAAATATATAAGATTTAAATAAAAAAAAAAAAAAAATCATTCAGGGAATCGAACCTGCAACCCTGAGCGTAGTAGTCTACGTCTTACCGTGGACGCTACGTTGCTAGCTCGAAAACTGTTTTTCCGTAACGGTACTATAGGGACAAAAATTTTTCTCGAAATATTTAAAAAAATATTTCTCGAGAATGCCTCAATAGTGGGTCCTACGGCTTTACAGGAGTAAATGTATGAGTGCATACTACACACCCATAAAATTTTATTCAAATCGGTGATCAGAGACTGCCGGGTTCCCCTTGTTAGAATCACACTCGAAGATGTATATACGTGCGGCACTTGAAATATTCTGTAGTACATAATGCATAAAATTGTCTCATCTGTCGCGAATAATAGGCCATGTAGAAGTGAACTTTAGAGAGAAAAAAGAGAAATATAAAAAATCTGTATTCGGTGAGCGCTAATAATATATTTACCTAAATCTAAATTCTTTTATTTAAGTGGGATAAACGATTGTCTCATGAAAAATTAGGTTTTCAAGAAAAATGATTATTTGAAATATATTTATGCAATATATTTATACATATATAAAATATATTTATATATATTGTATGAAAAAATATCTTAGTACAAGTAAACTTGCTACTAGTACCCACCGAATAAATACCCACCGAATATTTTTTATCTCTTAAATCTTCTTTCTCTTCTCCATACTACTTTGCATATTTTCTCATCGCAGTTGTGCTTTAACATCAGCTTTTTGTGCCAAATTGTGTGTTTATCAATGTCGTCAACGTAGCATGCGGTTGGCCTTTCTCTTCTCATCGTACATTTAGCGCTCGTTATCGCATATGATGACATCTCCTTAGTGATCTTCGCGTCAGACGTGTATGAAGCGTCCAAGACCAATCGCATTAGGTGCATTAAACGTCGATGTACCGTTCTTTTTGGCTCGCCATCGTTCGTTTTACGCATGTCCACCTGTTTGTCGTGTACTTCACGATCAATAATTCCGTCTCCGGCCCCTCGTTTTTAGCCAAGCTCAATCCAACACGAGCTGATCTCATCGTCGCTATTAATACGACACGATCGTTCCCGTGTCTGCTACCTGGAATTGTTTCTTTCTCCCGTGCGGCATTTACCAGGAGAAGGCGCGAGGGCGACGCGGAGCGAGATCGGAATTGAATTTGTCGGTTCGCGCGAGGGCCAACCGCAGGGGACGTTGTTCCGCTGTTTCGCCTAACGATAAACGATCATTCTTCGCTAATCGAGTAAGTGTTTATTGTGCGCGTGTATTATGTGCAAATGTACTCTCGAGCCGCTTCTACGCACTCCAATGCACTCGTTCCACTTTAATCGCGCGCATTATACAACTCGCGCTACATCACGCGATATCGAATGTAAGAAAAAAAAAAAGAAGAATAACGTCGGAATGAAAAATACGCACGCGATGATGTCGCCTTCGGCTCTGGGTTCCGGAGCGGATACGTATTCGCTGATTTTCCGACCAGAGCGAGATAATGCAAGCGAGGACGAAGTTCAGTAAGCAATCAGCATTGTGTAATTTTTTCATAACAGTGCATCGGCGGTAATGTAATTTTTATATTGGAACTTGAACCCATTTATAGAATTCTAGATGGAAGAATTCTTATCTTCTGTCTTTCTGACTTCTTATCTTATCTATATTCTCATGTCAGATAAACTTCAAATAAATGTTGCATCATGTATACATCTCTTTTTATTCAAGAAAATTTGCAAACAATTTCTTAAGTGTTGCTTCTCGAGTACGAACTAGTTTCTACCTATGACGCGCGGAATTAGCTGAGAACGCTTCGTCATGCTTAACAAGAAATTATGAAAATTTGTCGAGCCAAGAGCCGAAGGACGTTAAAACTCGCGCTATCCGAGGGCTCGACGGTATACCGGAAATACCGTGGTCCCCGTCGATCGGGGGACATTGGTGTGTGGAGTTTATTACATTCGTAAGCTTCCGGGAAACGTTGCTTTCTCGCCGAGCCCGATCTACGACGCTTCTTTTTTCTGCCGAATATCAGCCGATATATCGATCTGCTCGCGCGTGTCGCATTAATCATCATTGGTTTATCTTTATCTTCAGTTTTCAGCGCCGGCCTACCCGATTATCTCTCGGCTCGACTTAATAAAGTCCCCGAAAGACTCGAAAAGAGTGAAAGGCGAAATACAAGGCGCCGTGTGTGGGCGGACTAAAACTTCTCCTATCTTTCCCTCTGGGGCGGTTTCTTCTTTCCGTAACGCACACGCGCGCACACGTGTGTGCGTGTGCCGCTGCTACCGTCACACTTGCATCTCTGCGGGAGGTCGTCCCCTTGAGAAGGAGCCTTCGACTTTTACGGCAAGCACGGGGGGTGATGCTTAATCTGCCCCGACGATTCGGGACTTAGCCGTGCGAAAGTCGAGAGCTGCATCAATGCCGAAGTCGACAACTAAGTGGAGATTCTGGAGGTCTCTATTTTTCGTCTTAATTATAGTTCCTATATGGAAAAGAGAAATGAAAAGATAATTGAACACGTCCTCCCGTATCGCGAGGATCGTATTACGGGGGTAGGAGTTGCGCCAACGTGGATTAACATTGATCGCGATTATTATTTGTGCTCTCTTTCGCTTTTATTTGCGCCTCTTTAAAGTTTAGAAGATATATTTCCACGTTTTCCTCACGCGAATTAATTCTACACGGAAAAAAGATATGGACAACTAAATATAATTTGTTGTGTTGGACACTTTTTCTTTGCTGGAGGAATTTCCTTGATAAGATAACAAGAAAATCTGCTCCTGCAACAAAAAAGCAGCTAAAGTAGTAAATTAATTGTCATCTTGTAGCAAATTTGCCACTTGTTTTGCTGTACGAGCAGATTTCCTTGTTATCATAGCAAGGGAATAGATTCCTAGAGCAAAGGGAAAATAGCTAACACAGCGAATTATATTTAATTGTCCATATATAGCAAATTAGTTTGTTGCTGCAACAAATCCTTTTTTTCCGTGTAACATGAAGGAAAAATTTCGAATATAATGTATTAATTTTTTTTTTCCTAAGAGAAAATAATGTCTTGATGAGGAAATCTTCTGATAGCGTGGATTAAATTGCATCTTGAGATAGATAAATCCGAGCGATTTCTAAAGGCATTTTTAACATCGCGAATATGTAATCGAACATTGGAACACGTTTGCGACAGAATAGTATCCGGAGCCGATTGATGTTGATTGAAGTGTTTTTTCGCTATTTGTTTCTGCGCTCATCTCTGCGCTCGATTGCGATTAAGTAGAACTCGTGTTTAACTAGACATTCCTGTCCAATCGATATTTCTTATTCGTAGGTAGAAATAATTTGGCAAAAGTCACACGGAAAAAAACAGATATAGTACACGGAACAAAAAATTTAGTTATAAACGGCATAGTCATCATTCTAGTTATCTTTATCTGATGATAATGTATATATTGAGAAAGAAAAAGTAGTCGATAATTCATTCGCCTTCCAAGAAATATTGTATCTATTGAATGAGTTACGTGTCAGTCCAACAGTAAGTTATGTTGATATATTTACTATGCCATATCACAATTATTGAGTTAATTGACTATGTCTAACTCGATTGACTAAACGTTTGCTCAAACGAATTTTTTGTGTTCAGGCAAAGGCACATTAACTCAACCAATTTTTTTCTCAGCGTACAGTCGATGTGACTCAGTCACTCAGGCACATCTGCTGCATCAGTGTGGTTGCGCGTGATCTGATTGTAGCGAAATCGATCGGACTGACATTTGCCATGAATGTATCCTGCTTGGAAGCAGTCAGATATCGTCACTGTGACTCGGCGATAGCGCTGTTATGTGGTTGCAGCAACCACATAATCGTTTGTTCCGTATTTTATTATTGAATCCGATCTACACAACCGCATTTATGGGCCGGCCATACTGTTTTTCCCGTGTGGTTAATCAAGAGACCGTCGGCGCAACTCTGTCCCCTAATCAGCTTGACGAACCAACGACCGACGTATCGACCGACGTGTCGACTCGTGCATCTCTCGCGATAATCGTGCGCTTCTTTCCCCGATTATGAACGGCAGGAGCACTGGTCTAACGCTGCTATAATTGTACTATCGTCGAAACTTTGCTGGCTCCACTAACACCTCGACGGGGGACAATCGGAATGCGAACACAGTGTGTATACGTAAGAGCGGGAATTTTTGCGAATCGTCCGGTCTGTTAAGTTTTGCGAGATCTGTGCGTCATCTCTCCGCCGTCTTGTAATCGCGCGTGCGATCTAAATTGAAATCGCGCTCGTTGTCACCTTCCTTCCGCCGAAGGTTGCTCGCGAGGCAACCTTGTTTATCTTTGACGAATATTTCTGCATGCGCCGTATACGTTATCCTTGAGCGTCCAGAACTGCATCGATCGCCGCAGTTGTCGGCGAATCCGGCGTTGCGTCGCTCTGTGTTGGCGATTTATATG